AATAAATAGAGGTAGGCTTGTTTAATCCTGGGAAAGCATTTCACATTGCTGAAATAGTTTCTTAGGACAGTGCCTAGCACGACTCAAGCCAATTAGTGTATTTTCGCCATAAATATTATTGCAGTATTATTATTTTTTTCCTTTGTTATTTCCTTATAGTAATTGACTATATAAGCCTAAGATTAACTTCTATGACCACTAGTTATCACAACTGATGAAGATGGGTCATAATAACAAATCATAATTTATGCATTCAGGAAGACGTGCAATATGATAAGGATTTTCTATAAAACTAGAAAAAGGAGGTTAGTCTCAATTTATATAGAGCGTCTTCCTATCACAAGTCAATAGTTAATTATATTTCACCTATCAACACATGCACGCAGTATTAAACTAATAATAAGGGCTCATATATTTTATTCCCAACTTTGGCCAAGCAATATCCTTTCCGGCCTATAAAACCTAAAATGTAGATTTTGTATTTTGGATATGGCACCTAGTATAAGAAGGTTATGCACTACTAGAAATCCGGTAATTAGCGACCAAAAAAATCGACAAACTTTGGTCGGCTATGGCCAATTACCGACCAAATACGCTTGGACGGTATTTTGGTGGTCGCTTTAGTATACCGACCAAAGTTGGTTGGAAATTATCAACCAACGTTGGTCGGTAAATTAAATTCAAAAAAAAAATATTGCAAAAAAAACACCGACCAAAGTTGGTCTGTAGTTTAATTATGTAATCAAAAGATTCACCGTCTGGGAATCGAACCGGGGTGTGTACTGTGGCAGGATACTATTCTACCACTAGACCATTGGTGCATTTTGTTTTAAGATTGTCTTTTTTATTTATTTTTACTCTTTAATTGTGTTTTCGCACGAACATAACCGACCAAAGTTGGTCGGTTTTATTAAAAAATAAAATTACCGACCAAAGTTGGTTGGTTTTTTAAAATGACCGGCCGAATTTACCGATCAAAGTTGGTCGGTTTTTTTAATATTAATTTTTATTTATTTTAATTGCAAAAACCGACCAAAGTTTGTCGGTTTCTTGAAAAATAAATTTTGCGGGACTCAAAAATAGTTTTTCGCGTTTTTGCGCAAAGAAAACCGACCAAAGTTGGTCGGTTTCGTAAAAAAGAAATTTAAAAATTAAAATATTTTAAAAAACCAACCAACTTTGATCGGTTTTTGGCCAGTTTTTTTACAGGCCAAAGTTGGTCGGTTTTTCTTGATCGGTTTTTGCCGTATTTCTAATAGTGATAACCATTTAGGGGCAGGGAGGAAGGTGAATGGAATACTATTAATGGACCTTCGTTTCTACTACAAAATGTAATGGAGTTTACTAAGCAAGTTAGCTAAGCGCCTCTATAAAAATAGCGCTAATATGAAATCTTCAAAAGGTAGTTGGGATAAAACTCACTCGACTCGAAATATATCTCAAATTATGAGATTTAACAACACATTCGGGGTCACATATGTCACGACCCGGATTTTCCACCATCCGGACCGTGATGGCGCCTAACATTACACTTGCTAGGCATGCCAATGTTAGAACAATCTACTCATTTTAACAGTTTTAATTAGATAATAAAGAAGAACAGAGATAACTGAATAAATTTAAAGTAACAATGCGGAAGCTGAACTAGCCAAATATCTATTACAATTCCCTGAACCTGGTGTCACGAGTGCACGAACTACTAGTGTAATACACATAAGGTTCTGAAATAAATAACAAGTTGTTCGAATGAAAGTACACAGCTAAATATACAGAGGATGGGAACTCCAGGAGTTGCGGGCGCTGAACAGTCGTACCTCAAGTCTCCGCGAATGTCTGATCCGAGCTTGCTAATAACCGTCGCTGGGACCGTCTCCAAAATCTGCACAGTGTGCAGAGTACAGTATCAGTACAACAGATCCCATGTACTGGTAAGTGCCGAGCTTAACCTCGACGAAGTAGTGACAAGGCTAAGGCGGATCACCTACGCTAAAACCTCGCAGTCTATAATTATGACAGAATAATTGAAATACAGTACAGAATTAAACAGCCAACAGGAAATGATGACAACAACCTCAAAAATAAACCAGTGTTGTCCGAAATTACCAATCTCTAACGGTTCAAATAAGGATACTGGAAAACAACGCAGCTCAAGAAAATGAAACATATAGGTTGTTGCAGCGTGCGACCCGATCCTACCAGACAACACATAATCCTCCCTTATTCAACCATAACAATATCAATAACAGTGAACTATATATATATATATATATATATATATATATATATGTATATATATATATATATGTTGCGACGCGCAATCCGATCCCACTATATGTCAATATCAATATCGTAAGTCACCCTTATTTCACCATCCATCCTTATTCTACCTGTTGCGGCGTGCAACCCTATCCCACCATATCAGTACCAAATAGTCAATGTACACAGTCAAATCAACAGGCTAAATCACAAGGCCTTTACGATGAATAAATACCAAACTGAACCAAGAAAAGGAACCTTGTTCAATATAGAATCTACACAAATAATACTACACAGCGAGACCAAACCAGCAATTTGCAGTTTAAAGGTACAAACAAGTCAAATAAGCAAATAGCAGGGATTAGGGGAAACTATGAAAAGAGCCAACATGATTAACAAAAGAAAATATTTATTAACACGTAGCAATTAAGCATGGAAAGTATTTAGAGCATGTAACAATTAAGATAGGAGGAAACCAATTAAGTAAAAATGATGAATCAGGGAAAACAGATAATTCGGTGGCGTATAAGCACTCGTCACCTTGCATATACACCGCTCACATTGAATTTACATAACATAAAGTTCGAGGGTTCCTAATTCCCTCAAGTCAAGGTTAGACACAACACTTACCTCGCTCCAAAGGCCACTCAAAGCTCTGTCACAGCTTGCCTTTCAAACATGCCTCCAAACCAACAATATCTAGCAAATTACCAATCAAACGTTTCAAATTAATCCTTAGGAATCACCCACAATCGATAAGAATTCAATTTAGGCCATTATTGAAAAAGTCAACAAAATTCAACACCCGGGCCCGCTTGGTCCAAACCCAAAATTCGGATCAAAACCCGATTACCCTTTCACCCCCAAGCCCGGATTTACAATTGGTTTTGGAATCCGATCTCAATTTGAGGTCTAAATCCCCAAATTTCGAAGTCCCTAGTTTCTACCCAAAATTCCCGATTCCACCATGAAAACCTTAGATTCTAGCTTGAAATCTTGTAAAATAAAGTGAAAGATTGAAAGAAACTAGTTAAGAATCACATACCTATGATTTGGGGAAGAAATGGTCTTTGGAAAATCGCCTAGAGGGTTTCTTGTTTTGAAAATTTTGAGAAATGAGCAAAAATCCCGTCTAAGTTAGGTTTTACACAGCTGTAGATGTCGCATTTACGACCTGAGCTTCGCAAATGCGAAAAAACCATCGCATTTGTGAGGTCTCTCACACTTCTGCTTCCTTCGCAAAAGCGAAGAAATGCTCGCAATTGTAAATGCGAAGGCTGCCTTCCCCTTCTCCCCCTCCCAAATGTGAAACATTGTTCGCATTGCAAATACTGGCCTTCCCAGCCACTCTTCGCAAATGCGATGAGTGGATTGCAACTGCGAACCCAACAGTGGTCGCAAATGCGATGCTTGACCTCGCATTTGCGAGGTCTGAGACCTACAACAAAATATGATGCACCAGCATTGTTCTATGTCCTATTTTCACTCTGTAGTCTATCCGAAACTCACCCGAGCCCTCGATGCTTCAAACCAAACATGCATACAAGTCTTAAAACATCATACTCACTTGCTCGCGCGATCAAATCGCCAAAATAACACCCAGAACTACGAATTTAGCACCAAATCAAATGAAATTCTCAAGAACACTTTGAAATTTCTATTTTCTCAAGCGGACGTCTGAATCATGTCAAACCAATTCCGTGTTTCATCAAATTTTACAGACAAGTCTTAAATATTATATTGAACTTGTACCGGGATCCGGAACGAAAATACAGGCCCGATACCAACAAGATCAAACATCAATACTTTTCTTAAAAACCAATAATTTTTGAGATTTCAATTTTTAACAATAATTCATAACTCGGGCTAGGGACCTCCAAATCCGATTTTCGACATATGCACAGGTCCCATATTTCGTTACGGACCCACCGGGACTGTCAAAACACGAATCCGGGTTCGTTTACCAAAGATATTGACCGAAGTCAACTCAAATGAAGTTTTTAATCAAAAATCCTATTTTTATCAACTTTCAAAACAAAAGCTTTTCGGAAACACGCCCGGACTACGCCCGCAAGTCGAGGAGTGATAAAATAAAGTTTTTAAGGCCTCGGAACATAGAATTTGGTTTTAAATCATAAGATAACCTATCGGATCATAACACCATATTTTCAAAACCATTGATAATAACGTTTCTTTTGTGAAGCGCATGTACAGAGCACGGCAAAGTGGAGAACTAATTAGAGTAAGCTAGCTAGTTGATCATTCTTTCTTAAAGCTGTTTGAGAATGAATAAGACGATTAAACTCAATAAGGATTAAACTTACTATGTAAAAACTAAACTCAACAAAAAAGTGCTAACGATTTATGATCGTAGCAAATATCTAGTTTATAATTATGGGTAGACGTTAATCTCTTGATTAGGAAAGAGAGCACAGCTTGTCTAATTCACATTGACAAAAAGCTTTTCCACTTTGCCTCCTACACAGGGTAGGTTTATATCATCCTAGCTCTTGCATAAATATTTATAGCATTCCTTCTAGCATGATGAGGATGCTTTGATACAATCTAAAGAAAGGCATATTTTTGCAAAATTGACAATGAAAAGATATACGATACTAAAGTAGCCTTTTGGCAACGAGCATTTATCCCCCAAAAGTGAAATTTTCCACGAATTCTGATTAGTTAGTCGGGTCTCAAAGCGAGTACTTGACACCGAGTGAAAAACCCCAAAAAAAATGTAGCACTAGATGCAAAATTTATCTAAATATATGCAAATTAAGACAATATACAAGCACAGATTTACAACATACTATAGTTTACATTCCTTGAGATTTTTCTATTTGTTGCAGCAACATCCTTAAATAATCCAAGCTAGCCAGCTATTTGAATAGAAAAAACAAAAATAATTGTATCTTCATTAGAAACTGGAAGTATAACCTATACACTAACTAAATTTTACCTATATATGACTAAAGCTCAACTCCCTTGTTTTATACTTGATGTACTTGAAAATGTCCTCAAACTTCTTGTACTTTAATGTCCCAACTTTTTTCCCCTAGCATTGTCAATGAGGTTCAGAGCATTCATATATTTCCAATATTACCTGCAAAACTTTTCTGGAGACTTGGAAGGGAGTGATGAGTGAGATCATATGTATCAAGAAACAAAATCTGGTAATAGTTGAGCCGCGTATCGCTTCCCACTCTGAAAATCAATGTTTTCATAGGTTATATTTGGATGAGAAGGTTGAGGATTGCTCATTCTATTGTAATGAGTTTCAATTCTTCCCATTTCAATCCCAATGTTTTGGTTAGGCAAAAAGTTGTGTTGACTCCCTGAGAGGACTAAGTTTTCAGAAGGTGGAAGCCCTAATGTAAGAGAAACACCATTTCCTTGAAAACTTGTGGCCATTTGTTGTTCTGGATTAAACCTTCCAAATTCTCCCATTGTACTATAGGCAGTCATTAGAGGGTAGCTCTGATCTCTTGCCTGCCTGTTGTTGCTGTTGAACTTTTCCCCTTTGCTCCTGTCTCCGGCTTTCATTTCCGTCTCCATTGAGAGAATACTACTTGAAGAATTCTGCATGTCGTTTCTTGCCTTTTTGTTGTTCCTTTCAGAAGTACTGTTCTCCATGTTTAGTGAGCCAATGAAGGAGAAACCTGTTAAGAGAAACTTGTTGGATAATGTGTCTCAATACATACACACACAATTTAAGAGAGACTAATTGTAATGAGATTAGTTGACCTATATATATAAAAGAATTTTTATATTGTCAGGTTGTTTTAAAGATAACTACAGTAAGACATTATTCATGCTTCGTGGCAGAGGCGGATCCAAGATTTGGAGTTTATGGGTTCCTACAGTGATCTCAACTAAAAAAAAAATAACAACCGGACCAACGATGCGTTCCGACCTAAATATTCTTACACATTTAAGTATATTTCATAATAGAAATATAGAGGTTAGACCCGTACCAAATACTATGTATTTGCCCCTAATTATGGTATTAGTAACCTGAAAAATAAGACAAGTAACCTGCTACAACAAGTAAATTAACACTGGTAGAATAAAAATTCTTTACATTATCGATGTATATAAGTTAATATAGTAAATTTTAATACGGTGTTTAGGTTCTTTTTTCTTGTGAGTTATTCTAGATGTTTAAAGTGTATATATCGAATAAGTCATCCTGGTTGTTCATCAAGTATGATTCATGTGACGACGAGTTTAAATGTTGATGTAGTAGCTATATGTGTGTGAGAGAGAGAGTCTAACTTCAGGTATGCAGTTAGTTCTCAAGAAATTCCTTCGGATCTTAGGTGCGAACTTTTATTTTTAATTATCCATCGACCCGAGCTTTCATCTCCCGTGGTGATGACAGGTTTGGCATTGACCCCTACCTTGTTTATTGATAATCAAAGTAAAGTGCAAGAGGAGGGGACAGGTGCGACCTTGGGAAGCTTGTTTTGGCAGCTACTCTTTTATAGTATTGACTAAGTCATCCTAGGTTGTTCGTCGAGTATGATTCATGCATGTAACTTCAAGTTTAAAAGTTGATGTAGTAGCTGTGTGTCTGTGTGTAAGTGTGTGTGTGCGCGCGTGTGAGAGAGAGAGAGGGGGAGGGAGGGAGAGTCTAGTGTTATATTCGAACAAACCTGCAGCTTGAGCTGGAAGTGAGCCACCAGTTGGAGATGTTGAAATAGTTGAACTAGAAATTTCTGTGGGAGAAGCATCCTGCAATATGCTACTAATTTGCTTATCCTTTCTAAGGTTAGTGGTCTCTTGTGGAGCACTTGATTTTGTGCACATCTCTTTGTTAGGCTCATTCTTGTTTGAGTTTTCTTCTAAACCATGTTGCTCTTGATTATTCTTCACTTCTTCCAAGTACATTTCCTCCACCATTGGCTTCCATAGTCGAACTCTAGCATTTATGAACCAGTTGGAGACCTGCAATTCATGCATTTAATTAGGAAGTGGTACGTACTTTCATGACAGAGGAAAGTGTTTCAAGAACCTGTCAATATAAGGAATTTTTATACCACCATATTATTTTTACAAGTAATTTGTCTTATTTTTAAGATTGCAAACTCAATAACTTAATTAAAAAACTTACGAGGTTATTAGCAAAATTAAAGAGAAGATAATGGAATTTTCAAGAACCTGGCTCCTCGTTAACCCTGTTTGCTTAGCAAGCATAATTTTATCTGAATCTTTGGGGTACCTGCACGACCAAAAAAAAAAAATTTCGTAGTTACATCACCGGTCCTACCAGTTTGGAGGGTGGAAAAAACAGGTTTCATTTTAATTTTCTCTAGATAAATGACTTTAAGCAAAAGATTTTTACTAGTCAATTTCCAAGAAAATTTCGTTAGATATGATTTTTCAAAGAAGATTTTCTACTTATATATTATAATTGAAATTCCTTACAATGTTTCTACGTGGTATAAAATGGTTTTCACTAGAGATCGAAATTTATTTCTGAGGATACACGATAAAAAAAAATTTATACTATAAGTACAATTTTTACTAGTTATAGTAGATTAGTTGCAGTATTTTTCAAATTATAAGTTCCACTTATTACGAATAATTAAATAACACTACCTTATAAATAATTTGACAATGTAAAAATTCTTATATATTATCAGCGTGTATCGTTAAATTCCATTTTCAAAGTTATATATAAATTTATGACATTATTAGATCATCCAAAGAATATGTACAAGCTTTTCGAGTAATTGGCACTTACGGATGGAGAAAATGCTCGAAAAGCCAAGCACGAAGAAGTGAGACAGCTCTTTCTGGCAAACCTCGTTGAGGTCTCCAGGCATTTGGTTGCATCATTCCTAGCTGTTGGAGTGCACGTTGCTGCCTAAGATGATGATCCACAAATCTTAGCCTAGATGATGATCCTTCAATTTTACCTCCCAAATTAATTTCTTCTTCTCCTAAGCTTTTGCTTGTGGCCTTTATTTGTCCAGTTATAGCATCTTTTAGGCAACGAAATTGCTTCGAAATTGTATGCAAAGCAAGTTGAGTGTATGATTTTGCTGATCCAATTCCTGCTGCTTCCTCAAATGATGCAACAATTATTTGCATTTGGTGATGGTACTGTCTATACCTTTGCTCCACCTAACCAAATCCAAAGTTAAAAAAATATCCTTCAAGATAAACTTAAAACAAGTGGACTATTCCTGTTTGGATAATATTTAATTGAAGTAGAAAAAACAGAGTATTAGAAGTTAAAGTTGAAAAAGAGTATTTGAAAGTCGAAATTGTATCTTTAACCGAATTTCACTTGAAATAAAATTTGTAATTTTTGTCAATTTTAATTCTCTATTACATGTTGGGATTGAAATAATAGACAAAATATATAATAAAACAACCTTGTGCAAATTATTTGATAAATTGAAGTTGTGTCCAAATTGTCTTCTTTTGATTCTTAACCATGATGAGCAAGTAATATTCTAGAGGGGGGAAATTTTAATTAAGTGATTTTCAACTGAAAGGTAAGAATATTTCCTACCTTGAAAGGTTCAAAGTAAAAGAAAAATGAATAAGGACACGTGCTTTGATTTTTGTCAACTTAACAAGACCTTATAGGTTTCTTATCTTTAACTTTAGTTGGACCCGCAGAAGAAAATTTAGAACCACACAATCGTCAATTTTGTATATCACACAGAACCAACGTGATTGGTGACTCTTTAATGGAATTGCTTAGCTTCAACATGAACAAAATTGTACCTTTGAAAAATCAACAATTATTGCAAGTATGAATCAACAGTAACTTGACCCCTCCATCTCCCAAAAAATCCAAACAAATAAAACAAATGGAGTAACTAGAATTAATGAAAGTAAAGGCCAAACTTTCTTCTCAACCATTAAGGTACACAATAAGGTGGAGCTAAAAATTTGGGTTTATAGGTTTTGAATTTTTAAAAAGACAATTCTGGATAAATTATTTATATATATTTAAGTGAATTTTGTAATACAAATATAAGGTCTCGGCAAAAGCGATTAGATTCTGCCTGTAAGTAGATTTATTGCTCCGCCAACACAAATTTTTGGATCATGGAATTGATTTGCCTAAACGAAACTCCAACCAATTCAAGAAACTTGATATTGATCGTTTATTAAGAGATAAGGAAAAAAAGACTTAAAAAATATGATATAATATGAATTAGATAGAATTACCTCATCAAGCATGCTAATAAGTTTGGCCTTTTTCATTTGAAGTTCTTGTCTTTGAACAGTTGTAAGCTCAGCAACAATATTTTTCTGGCTGCTACTTTCACCTGAACCACTAGTAGGAGCAGCAGCAGCAACATCACTACCCAAAGGCATTAATTCATTATCTAATAATTCGTCCTTCTCCTTGGCCCCAACCTCTTTGGTACTTTTTCCAACATTAACAACTTCATCAAGAAGCTCTTGTGCAGCTTTTAGGTACTTAGAACCAACAATCATTCCATTAGAAAATGAAGAAGATGATGCCCCTGATCCTCGAATATGATCGTTATTAGTATTTGTTCGCGGCGACGGTGATGATAATATTCCAACTTGATGATTGTTATGCGGTGAAATCTCATGGTGGTCTAGTGGAAAAGACCTGAAATTGATCATCTGTTGTTGTTGTTGTGGGGAAAGACTTAGAGAAAGACCTTGATGTTGTTGCGTCGGTGATACCAACCCTGGTCTTTGGAACCCTAATTGGGAGGCAAAGTCCGTGGTTGTGCCTCCGCCAGAATTGGGAGAAACCACGGCCTGAAACAAATCAATTGAACCCTTTAAAAAACTATGGATCGGAGTGCGCTAAATACTAAGAAATAAAGTATTCTCTAAGAGCTAGCTTGTTCAGTACCGACGGTATATGTGATTGGCTTTCATTTCCACCGCCACCACCGCTATTTTGGCCATTAGAGCTCCACAAACGCTGGAGAAGGCCATGATGAGAGGCGGAAACTTCGTGGACCGAGGGGCGGCTCGGATCCTGAAAAGTACTTGTCTGAAGGGGAACGCCCACGAAGTGTTGCGTGTGGGCTTGCGAAGGAAGTTGCCCGTGGGGCAAATTCCCCGCGTTTCCGGAATTCAAGAAGAACATATTTGCTTGTTGAAGATGTTGTTGTTGTTGCTGCTGTTGCTGTTGAGTGTCAGTATAGCCTATATAGTTAGGGTTCATCAGATAAAGTGTCTGCAGACCATCAGCTTGGATTTCTGAGCTCCCTTGATAGTACATCGCCATAGATTTCAGCACCTATATATAAAAATCTTACCTCACTCTTAAATGCTTAACCAATCAAGAAATTAAAATCGTTTTTTTTTTCTCTCCAATATATGAAACTATTTCAAGAAAGCTTAGGCCATCCAAATTTGGAACTCACCTGCAGATAGTACTGATGATGGAACCTGAAAGAAAGTAAGAGAGAAGAAGCTTATCATAAATCCATGCAATATTCTATAGATGGCAAACATTTTTGACATAGAAAATAGCATACTAAGAGTTATAATATATAATTAACAGCTCAAATTTGAAACTATATTTGATGAATCTTGATTGAGGACGGCTTTTGACTATGATGTGTCAACTAAGAGAAAAATATGGAGATTTGTTAAGTATGGGGAAAAATAAAATTTGTACTTACTCTGACAAATATATGAAGAATGTATGAAGGATCTTCAACAATAAACTAAACAGAAAATAAATTTAATAAAAAGATGAAGAAAGAAAAGTAATATAGAGGGAGAGAGAGAATGATTTTGAGAAGTTGCCTTCTTGTCAGATTCTTAAGTTTTCTGCAAACTCCACTGCACAAAAGGGGAATATGAATAAAGAGATTTTTATTAGTGCTAGTCTCACAACATATCCTCCCCGACCCCACGCTCAAAGTCGGATCCAAGATTTTCAGAAATCAGAATATAAGTTCTTACAATGACCTTAATTTGAGATTTACAGTCAAATACTTAAAGATATATAATAAATTTCTTAATATATATGTATATATATAAGGTCCGGACAAAAACTACTACATTAATGTGAACCATAACTACTAAGCTAGGTCCGGACCTGCCCACACCTGTCAAGACACAGTAAAAGAAATGGATTAGAAAGAAAGTGTGACTATTTTTGTAATTACCTGAGATTTGTTTTTCTTACTGTTTTAAGAGGATAGATGATTGAAAAGGTAAAATTGAGAGTCTTTTATTTTTTACGTTTAAAAGTCTCCCTTCTCTCTTCTTCTTCTCTGGGCATTTGTTTGTTTAATAAACTAATTTGGTGTTAGGTACGTGTGATGGAAATTAGAGAGGTCTAATTAAACATATTGAATTTTTTTTTCCTTTTTTTGATTTCTTTAGAGAGAGTGTGTGTAGTGAATTTAACACTAGAAAGAAAGTAGGCCAGCGATAAGAAAAATGAGGACATCTACTTCCACCAATTGACGGGTCAGTAATAATTGAGATAGCAGAAGTCCCTCGATTTTCTTTAATTCTATTTATGACCCTTATATGTTATACTGGAACTTTTTTTTTTCCTTCTGGCGGCTTGATTGCTTTGTTAATTAGATTTTACATTTTAAGCTCTGTAAAAGAAATTTGCAATTTTTTGTAATAAAAAAATATTTAAGTGATATTCAAGAAAGTCGAATGACTTTTTTATAAAAATAATTCAATGACTTAAATATAATAAAGTAAAAGTTAAATGATAATCAATGAAATTAATTCGTGAATCTTGCCCACCTCACAAAGATTTTCTTTGTTTCTGTTCGATGGCATATATATAGGTAGGATCATTACAAAAAGGAACTAAACGGATTTTTTCGGTTCCAAGTGAATCCTGAAAGTGACAAATCAAAAAGGGAAATTACTAGCTATGTCCATTTATAAGTAGCTCATTATAAATATTGGCCAATTGATAAAATATTATTAATATTAGCCAAATTAGCCAATTAGCTATTTGTAGCAAAAAATAATCAAATTTTTACTTTGTTTTGAGTGGGTGCTATTAGAATAGATTGGGCACAACTTAAGGAGCTTGAATCTAAGTTTTGGGATGATTTGGTGAAGTTTTGAGTTGGTTTGAATTGAAAATTCGAAGTAAAAACTGAACATAAAAAAATGATGTGTATCACACTATGTATCATTTGTGTATCACATATGTATCATATTTGTATCAATTATGTATCACATGTATATTCATGTATACCTGTGTATGAGATACATGCGTGATACATGTTTGATACATGTGTCGCATAAGACTTTTTTGAACTCGATTTAATTACGAATTTTTTTACAAAACCATTCCAAATCACCTCCAATCTTCCTCAAATTTTGTATATTAACTTACCTGTATATTTTCAATGAATTTCAACTATACCCATTGAAAAAGTTCCTTTTTTGTTTAGATTTTTGGAATATTATATATATTTTTGACTTTTATCACCTTATTTGCTACCTCATCCATGAAATTGTCTTTCCGTCTTGTATGTAGTGTTGCTAATCACGCTTTAAAATATGGAAGGTGATTTTTGCATGTGATTCTTTGAGAGAAAGAACCCTATTATTTGGTTTTTCAATTTTTGTTGGCTAGTTTTAATAAGTCTATGACTAATGGCTAGAGGTTGGTAAGTTGAGATTTATTTGGGACATTTGTGTAAGTTTCCCAATCAAAAACACAATTTAGTTCTCTATTCGTTTGATCCGAATAGGAAAGACGATGAGAATTCACTAATTTTCTCTTACATTATTAGTGTATACTAAAAGGCTAATTTTTTCGTTATAGGGATGTGAAAAGTTTGGAAAATCCATCTAGTTAAAGAAGATGTAAGCTAACACAAATCACTCCCATTGTTAAACATCTAAAGGGGGTCAATGGATCTTTAAAACTCCACTAAAGACCGAACCGAACCGTATTAAACCGAATATTAGATTTCTTTTAATAAGAATATAAGATTTTATATAAATTTATAACCGTACTATCTTTTATAGAAGTAAATCGAAAAAATACCGAATCGTACCGAATAAATTTACATATGAAAAATATACTTTATATACTAAGTTTAAAAAGTAACAAAGCATTAATTTTTTTTCTTGAGCCTTGGGATTATGAAAATGGCTACAAAGTGATCAAATAATTAATATCCAAAGTCCCAACATTCAAATCTATTCTACTACTCATATCGAAATTAAATTAGTTCTAACATATCGGGTAGCAAGCCACTAGGTATTCTAGCGATCTTCAGTAGCAAGCCACAAGGTATTAGATATCTTTCCTCTCGTATGATTTAGATTTATCATATCGGATAATAATCCTCTAATAAGCTCTATTCTTGCTTCCCAACTTGATTAGTATCTTTACACTCGTATGATTTATATTTCTCTTTGTCTTTGTTTAACTTATTTTACGCTACCAAAGAATAATGAGATGAATCTCTATTCTGGAGACCTTTCATGTTCTATCACTACTTTTAAAATAGCAAAACAATCTAGATAGTTTTGCCAAAGTTCTATGCAAGTACACATTTATCACATGCTAATTTCGATTAGCGACTCTTGCATGACGATATTAAAAATACTGAAAAATTAATCGAACGGTACCCATGCCGAAAAGAAACCGAGATGATTGGGACAGTTTCGAAAAGTCTGATTTTAGTTATACAAAATGAAATAACCGAAAACTTAGTATGGTATAAAATTTATAAAATAACTCACCAAACCTAACCATTGACACCCCTAACATATTATACACTTGAAACATTAATGTAGAACTTGGGTTACGTCTTTATTGCAATAGAAGTAAAACCATATCCGATTATTGAACTTCAATGCATTTTTAATTATTTTGATCTCTGCATTGTGGGGATTTCCAGAATAGTGGCATGCAGAGTACCTTTACTAGGTCCCCATCAAAAGATTGTAAAACGTCTGGCCCTAAAATACAGTAGTAGGTGTGTACCTAATTAAAGTCATGGACCATATGACAACTTCAACAAAGAAAAAAGTGTCCCTCCACCCCCTTCCTCGACTCCAAAAAGTTATTAAATCATATATTATGAATAGTATAGGTCACGTTCTTGGAGCACGTATCATACTATAAATCAAGGACCAATACTTTCTTTTTTGTTGTGTTTTTTATCTTATGTCATCGTATATATTTGGGCCAAATTAAATTCGAGTTTACACCGAAAAATCTCATATTGAGGTAAAGCGTTCTCTAGTAAAGACGATTACATAACCAAAGGTCGAACCAAAAACTTCTGGTTAAGGATGAAGATATACTTACAACGATAACTGTGGTTGGTATCAAGGACCAATACTTACACAAGTCATATGCTTGATAGGGAAATTACTCTATATAATCAGTCTTCTTTAAGGGACAGTTTCTCCTTCAAGATGCAATCAAACCATTTTTCTTAGAAGATGTCACCTGAGATCCTAGATTCAGCTTTCATGAATTGATTATCACAAGAATTAGAATTCTTTCTTCTTTCGCTTTCATCTTGATCATGCAGCCTTTTCAAAATCTGTCAGCTTCCTTTTGTCAACTGAAAACAACTTGATGGTAGTCTCTGAAGCATAGTCTATCAATTTTCCAATAAATTACTCTATATAGTACTATTAGACTTTCAGGGTCGTTTGGTACATGCGATAAGAATAATAATCAGGGAATAAAATTAATTGGGATTAACTTTATCTCATATTAGATTTGAGGTATAACTAATCTGAGGATAAGTTTTACACTAAAATGGTTACCAAACGACCCCTCAATTGTTTCAAAATGGTACTAATAGCACTCAATCATTGTACATTACCGTACTTTTAGTACTTCAAATGCAAAGTTTCATGGTCTAAACTATTTTCCTAATATTTTCTACTAAGTTCTTGGAAAGCTTGTGAAAAGGGGACCAACCAATCAAGAATGCTCTTAGATTCTACTCATTTAAAAAATAATTTTAGCATTCCTTGTATTTAGGGGTGCGACCTAACGGTTAATGCGAAAACCATGAGTGTTAAAACTCCAAAGAAACAAAACACGTTTTACGACCTTCTTCACAACTATATCTACTTAAAAGGAAAGAAGTCAGCCATAAGATTTTGCCAAGTGTCAGCATGCATAAATTGCCATGTAGCAATTTCAGGCCAAAGTAGTTACAGTTTAGGTAATTAGTTACTACACTTTAGGTAAAACTAATTTTCTCTTTTTAAAAAGCCGATTCCATTTTATATTGTGAAGAAGTTACCACCACATATAACTCTATTCTTTTTCAATTTTTAAATACTACCATATTTTAAACTAAAAAGGAACCCACACGCACTCACATCCCAATTCCCACAATCTGCACGATCTCAGTAATTGTAGGAAAACAAAGCGTCATATAACTGACGGGATCCGTATAACTGCTCTCCAAGATCCTCTTCAACTCTAACCATTTTCTTCTCCGATCAATCCTCTACTACGCCGAGATTCTGCCTCCTTTACGGGTACCTTTCAGCCACAAAGAGACACGGGAACTCCACAGAATATTTTTTCTCTTTCTTCTGGTATGGCCAAAATTAGAATTGCATAACAAATCAGTATTTGAATTGCAATTATCTTCTTTCTATCATTTGAATTGTAATTATCTTCTTTCTATCAATAAGGAATAGATTTTTTGAGAGATTAGAGAAAATATTTTGAAAGTTGAAATCTCATCAATTCTCAAAAGTTCTGTGCCCATTTGCATCTGTTTCCATATATTGTTCGCTGCCACTATTGCTGTTGATGATACATATTATGGTCTGTCTAGATTACTTTCAGTTTTTCTTTGCGTAATATGCGTTTAAATGCAAAATTTTTGCATTTGATTCAGAGAAAAAATTTACCAATCAAAGGGTTTAATTGTTGAGTCTGAAAGAGCCTATTTTGCCCTGCAGCGTAAGGCCAGAATTTTCGAAAAATCAAAATATCCTTTTTTTACATATATAAATTAATTAGAGAGGAAATAATTGTAGATAACGGAACGGTCTCTAGCATCTTCAATTTTAGCAACTTACTTAAAAAAATTCTTCAATTCTATCACCTTATGCCTTTGGGATAGTAAGTACATCCATAAGCTCAAAATCTTAGAAAGGTTTCTCCATATAAACGTGCATGAGAAACATAAATGCTTTAAGATGACTAGAAGATCGTCACATAGTTAGTAAGCATCTTGAGAATTGATTTAGTGAAGATTTCTGTGTGTTCTTATGATTATGGACAAACAAGTGTGCATCGCAAGTGTTGCAGTTCTCGAATGCGACAGACCTGATAGTCCTTTTTTAATTGAGGTTATTTTGATGGATGAAAAGATTAGGTATTTAAACTTTAGACTTACTTCTATTTTGAACTATTTACATATTTGTTAATATACTACAGTCATATAATAGAGTGTTTCTGCCATAATTCTGGACAAAAAATAATTGACACCCTTGCTACTAATTCATGACTATATAGTTCCATTCTCCTTGTGACTGCAGAAGAGATTGATTGGGAGGGAAAAGCCAAGGATAAATTTTTCTTTAAAAGACGCAATACCTTAAAATATCTCAGCTACTGCCCAGAACTTTTCAAGTTGTTAATTAGGCATAAGTCTGCAAAAGCTGCATACTCAGAGGAAATATGCCTCCACTCAGCTCATGTCAACAATCGTTGTCATAAAGATACAATTTTGCAAGCATATCACCCGTTGCCCTGAAATAGAAAGGACAAATGAAACCTTCAACAACCATAAGAAGTTTTACATGATCTTTCAATCTAGGATATTTTCTACGTACTATACTACAAATAATACATTTTCTACGTACCATACTATGATGACGGAAATGACTCGATGCTGTTAAAGTTTAATTTTCAATAAAAAATACTCAGTGGTATTTTTTGTATTAGTTGCACTGTGTTCATTTTTGCACGTTACATATTGACTATTTCTCAATATGTGGTATTAGCACTTGATGCTCATTCTGTTAAGAGATTGTCCATGGATAGAACTAGCATGGAGAATTCGAGTTGCAAGAAGAGGATAATGGAGTTGAGCTACTGTTTTAGTAATTCTCTCAAGAGTTGCTCGATGATTTTTTCCACAACGAAGTAAATTTATGCAATTTATTTTTTCATTAAACCATTGATTAAAAGTGGAACAATAGCATGTTTTTGCTGATTATTGCTTGGTTTATTAAGAAAATGGTAATTCCCTATTTGAGCATACTTCCGGGGATGATTTTTCCAGGCTATTTTTTGTCCATCATATTGGCTATTGCAGAGGTTCTATTTGCTGCGTTTCGGGCTACTTTGAAGGATGAGAAGCGATCAAGATTAAAGCGACTATGTGATTTGTGTTGGCTCTGCTTAAAATAAAACTTTGTGCTATTTGGGGATGATTGAGGTAAACATTCTTCTACATTTAATCTACTTCGTACATAGTTGCTCTCTAGGAGTTCTGGTGCTACGTATGGTTGTAATGAATTAATATGTTGCAAATTTATTGGCTAAGTAAGGATTTTTGCATAGAAGATCATTCCTGACCCCCACCAAAAATAAATTATCAAATTTTTGTTGTAATTACCATAAAATAAACTTTAAACCTAAGCAAGCAGTTTGATTCCATGGCTCTCATACACATCCATGACAGTTCCATCCCTTTGGTTCTCCTCCTCTCTTCGACATCTGGCAACCTTCCTCTTTCGTCTGTATCTATATTTCTTGATGATTTATGAAGAAAAAAAAATTTAAACTTCTTTAGTAGTTTGTACAGTACTCAGAATATAATTGATCTTTTACTATTTTGAAATTGGAAAGACGCTACCTTTTGCCATTATTACCATGGATAAGATTATTTTCGTCAACAACAACATTGTGTTTGCTTATTCTGTATTCACTTTGTTGGATTCAATTAGGTAATACATAACTATGATCGCATCATAAAGTATTATCACCATCTTGTGTTGTTAGAGAGTTATAAACTTTTATTTGATATTTATTCTGATTATTTATTGAGAATGTGAAATTCTTTATAATTGAAAATATTTTGAAAATTCCAAACTATAGGAACCCCCCCCCCCCCCCCCTTGGGATAATAGCCTCCCACTATAGGACTTTTTGGATGGAAAATAGGAAAGAATGTGTTTCGAAATCTTACACGCACCATGTATAACTATGCTTTTTACCTATCTAGATATGTTTGCATCTTAAATGGTTAATCAATAATGAAGATGTGCGTATACCAAACATGGATCCTTCTAATATTATTTACGGATGATTAGAACCAATCGGCTAGGACTGTTATATCTTGGCATGACCAATGCACCAACAAGTCTGATACAAAAATTAACGAAAAAGGAGACGAGAACGTAAAAAACATGCTATGATGTATGTGATGGGTTTAAAATAAACTTTAAACAGAATCTAAGCGGTTTGGAAATAAGTAACAGCTATTCTACTTATGGTCTTACGTTGTTGTGATTATAAAGCAATAATCTTATTTTTAATAGTCTACATGTTGAAGCAAATGAGTTCCTGTTGCAGATACATATAATATTGTACAACCAATTGTGAGTTGAGGTGTTGCTATGCTTTTGGATTGAGACCCCTTTTTGGGGAATGTAAGAATACTCTTTTCTTGATTATCTATGTTGATTTTCTTTTGAATTTGAGACAAATTTTAACCTTGATCTTTACATGAGTGCATAAGATGGAAGTTCCTTTTAATGTCTTTGCCTTGAAGTTTTCATGTTCAAGTAATGTAACACATCGTTGTCTTTTGCTAATAAATAGAGAACTTTTTATTGCCTTATAGCTGGGTAAGATTATTTTTTTTGCCTTTGTTGATACTTGGTTTTACAGCATGACATACCCTTATTAGTTTTTTTTATTAGATACTAAATTTAACAGCACACGCTAGGGTGGCCAATATTAAAGAGGAAAGAGGAACAAATGTTTTACCGATCAATTCATCTAATAGTTTGTAATATACATCTGTTTCTACGGGTAGCAATAACTTACCTTAAGTATGTAACAGAGAACTATGTTCCTCAACTGCAAAGGAATAAGTAGCTTCTAATGAAGATGTTTTCGATTGGAACAACATGATGGCTGCTATATCAGTAATTGACACATAATCTTGATGAGAATTAATGTTCTTATGTATGCATTTCATCTAATACTTATAACTGTTATATTGATTCTGCTAACAAGGATTAGGTATTTCTAGGATTTTGGTTATCGATATGAGTCTTCATTTGTATCATCGACTAACATGATTGACTTGCTCATGTGCTCATATACTTCTGATTGAAAGTACAACACAACTGAAGGTGATGTCTTAATTACTGTGATTATACATATCTTTAACTATTTTTTGTTTTTGTTGATCACAACTTGAGACAATTTTTTTTGTATTCTCAGGTGGACTATTCCTTTTGAAGCCAAGTACTGGTGCAGCATTACCCCAGTATGATGTAACATCTCTTGATAATTGGTGGTCCCTGTCAACAATTTTATAGAGAAAATTCGATTAAATTCATCTATTTGTTTTTTTGGTTTAATTCCTCTGAATGTGATTGCTAAATGTAGTCTACAATTTATATCTGTTTCTAATATCTTTTTTCCCTCTTTTTTCCTTTGAAACGATCCGGGCATCGCGCGGGTAAGTATACTAGTTTGATGAATAAGTGTTTATTGGTAGAGTTATTCGTTATTTATGTTGATGATAAATAACAACTACGGGATAGAATAGTGAGAGGTCCGCGTAAACTGGCCCCATATTTTAAAAAATAATTTTGGCCTCCCTTTACGTTTGACATGGGTGGTAGGGTGTCTCTAGAGAGTAAAGTAATGTGACTTCTTTCGAAACAAAATCAGAAGGTCTCCAAATTAAGAAACATAAACTGAAATGAAAAGGAAAAGGGTTGATGATACAGATGTCACGTCTGTTTACGTTTGTGTATTATTTTTCCAAATAGATTTTACTTTTCTGACAAGTAGAATTTCCAAAGACGGATTAAAAATTTCGATTAGGAATTAGGATAGGTATAGGTCTTTTCTATTTCCTAAAGCAAAGAAGAGCGTGACAATTTTGAAAGGACGAAGACAAGGTTTCAATCAAAGAAATTGGTCCAAAGCTCTTTAAATATGACATGAAGGAAAAACTACTTTTTTGAAGAAACGGTAGTTAAGATGCATCTCTTATTAATTAGGGTATGTTTGGTATAACGGAAAATATTTTCCGTAGAAATGTTTTTCAAGAAAATGTTTTCTTGGAAACAAGTAGTAATCTTATTCATTTTCCGGTGTTTGGTATGCAAATTAATGAAAATGACTTCTTAAGAGTATTCATAAATAATTTAGATATAATAAGCATGAAGCCATAAACTTTCAAACCATAACCTTCCGAACCCACATTTTTCATAAACTTTCGAACCGCTAAACTTTTGAAACCGTGAAACTTCTAACCTGTAAACTTTACTATAATTTATAAACCCGTAAACTTCCAAACACATAAACCTCCGAACTCATAACTTTAGAACTTGTAAAAGTTTGAACCTTTAAACCGATAAATAAAAAAACTAAAATTGAAAAATATATTAAAAAATATTTTTTTTGCGGGGGAGGGGGGGGGTTGGGAGGTGGGGGCAGAAAAACGAAAAAATAGAATTTGAAATTACAAAAAAAAGTAAAATTTTTTTTGCTAACGAGATTACAAGTCTGAGCATAGAAGTTTTAGGATATTAAGTCCTAGTGAATTAAGATAAGATGGCACGTACCTGAGTCAAAGAACCAACTCCTTAGTAACTCCTTTCTTATTTTTGCAATAAAGCTTCAGCACTACAAGTTAATACCATACAACATAATTATCAGCTAGATTTTTCTAGGAAAGTGTGTGCGCTTAATACAAGCACGAGACTGAATCAAAAACATTGTACTGGACTATCTACATGTAATTATACCTTTTCTAGCCAATCATTGGGGTGCAACTAGTTGGAAGTATTGATTAGACGTAGTTCCAGTCTATTACTTTCAAAGTGATCCCTACTCAGAGCTTTTAGTAAAGATATATGCAATTTGTTCTTGAGTTTTATAGAAATTTAATTAATATATTCCCTTTTTTCAANGGTGTCTTTTTTCTCTCTTTTTTCCTGCACTTCAGAAGTCCAGCCGCAACCCTTGAATATTATGTAAAAATAGGAGAAGAAAAAAAATACAAAGTGAATTTTTTTGAATAAATTGTAAGGAAATTACAAAGTTATGTCAGCTAATAAGTAAATTAGTACAAAAATTAGTCAACTTATCACTTACTAGAAATTCGGCCAAAACCGACCATGGCAAACCGACCAACTTCGGTCGGTTAAAAAACCGACCGAAGCCGGTTAGTATTTTAAAATATTTTATTTTTCAAATTTTTTTTACGAAACCGACCAACTTCGGTCGGGTTTATTTTGGCGCAAAAATACGAAAAATTAATTTGGCGTCTCGCGAAATTTATTTCTATCGTTAATTTTATATTTTTAATTAAGCCGAACCAAATCGGTCGGTTATTTTCGCGCGAAAATACAATTAAAGAGTACAAATAAAATAAAAGATAGCCTAAAACCAAAATGTACCAATGGTTTAATGGTAGAATAGTATCATGCCACACTACAGACCCCGGTTTGATTCTCAGACAGTGAATTTTCTAATTACATAATTAAAATACCGACCGACTTTCGGTCGTATTTTTTTCGACAGTAGATTTTTTTCTTTTTTGGTCGTTTGTGAAATTTTATTGACTGACCGAAATCAGTCGGAATTTGCGACCGAATTCGATCGTTATTTATTACCGGCCAGCCTAATTTCGACGAATTAAAGTCGGTAAAAAATCTGTCGACTTTTTAAATTTTTCGACCGATTTCGGTTGGTATTTCTGGATGATTTTAGGCACTTTTCTAGTAGTGTTATAAAGTATTATAAATATTAGCCAATTAGCTATTTGTAGCTAAAAAAAATTTAAATCTTTGCTTTCTTTTGAGTGGGTATTGTTGAAATAGATTGTACACATCTTATGAAGTTTAAATCTCAATTTTGGGATGATTGGTAAAGTTTTGAGGTGGTTTGAAGTGAAAATTCGAAGTAGAAGACAAACATGGAAAAAGATGATATCTGTATGACATGATATATTATTTGTGTATCACATATGTATCATATTTATATCAAATGTGTACCATATGTACATCTATCTATACCTGTGTGTGAGATACTTGTGTTTACCCGTAAAATGATACAGTTAAATTTATAGCATGATTTATAGACAATAGAATCGATTTGATCCAAAAGATGATAAATAAATAAGGACGAAAAATAGATTAATGAATAGAATTTAAGAAGATAACAAGCCTAACTCCAAACTTAGTCTTTCCGAGAACAGAAGTGAAAACACTGATAAAGCGGTGATAAAGCTATTGTATTGCGCAAAAAATAGTTAAGTACTACTTTTTTTGAAGAACGTTTCATGTCCTACAATGGCTTTTAATTCTCCTAATTATAGCTCTGTTGATGGAGACAAGATCCTCAAATCAAGCTTTTCTTGAATAGAATAAAATCATCATTGATAGGTGCATAATAGCCGGCTTTGAATGCAGATATTCACTGTAACGGTTGCTCATTAAATGATATCCAGTGTCAAACCTTTGAACCTCTATTATCGGCGAGGCTTCCTTCGGGATCCATCCTGCACCACTTACATACTTTACACTCGGTACCAGCTATCTTCCGACTCATCTTTTACCTGCCTTTGGTTCCATGTGTCATCTCACCATTTGACCACCTGTTATCAACGAATTACACCCCATAAAGATAGTCTCCCTACTTTTCGGTGACGCAATTAAGTGTTACCGAGAAGTAGATAAGAATATTTTCTTGGCGAAAAAGTTCCTGAACATTCTCTAACATTTGAAGGTACGCACATCTCCTCGCATTTAATACTCCGAACATGTGTTGCCCTGTGATTTAGCAGGTATTTTTGCCAGTACTCGAGGTAATTATGACCATTATTTTTGCCGTCTATAACTTCTCTACTACTCATTATTTTTACTTCTTCATTTTCACTACTTTCACAAATCTTTCTCCTTCTCTGAATTGGTTTAAACATTTTTACAACATTCAACTTTTTCACAAGAACTTCTTCACTAACCTTTTACCATCATATTTTTTTATACTTCTATCTTCGGAAGTTTTGGTCTTCTCTTCTGTGGAGGCCCAAAGAAAAACAAAGCCAAAGAGGTTGACGTTGAGTCTGAACCTCCAACTGCTAACACCATCATCCCACTTCATCTTAGCACCGCATCCAATCTTCAAGAACAAACCGCATCTACAAACTCTCAAAGTTGTAAGTTTTGGACAATTCGCAGGTACCCTTCCTCCATTCGTCCTTCTAGTATCCCTACTGTGTAAGAGGACTGCAACTGTTCCAATGTTGAAATCATCGCCCCAGATAGGGTAGGGCGAGTTACCCACTCTAGAGAGGGGTTTATGTATGTCTATACATATCTATTTACTTTGGATCCCTTCTCATTGGGGTCGAGTGAAGGACTTAACCCAAAAATTTTGAAATTTTGCCACCGGTACCAGGCCTACTTAGAACAGTAGGCCCATCTATATGGCGGACGATGGCCTACCTTTGCTAATTGTGCATTGAGACCAGGAAAACCCTAACTCTTGCACATATGATGAACCTTTACTCCCCCCAAGATTTTTCGTGGGGAGTGTTAAACTTCAGCAAGCATGGTCACCACGCCCTTCTCACCAGTGTAGGCGATGACAATGACCGTGGATAGATAGAATAGTTCGTCATTATTGCTACCAGGGACTTTTTCCCGACCACAACTCTAGCTTTTCCCGAATTGTGGAATCTTTTCCGTAAGTCTTCGAATATTTGTTTCCTTTCTTCGTAAAAGATAATTTCTTGTTTTGCTGATTTTTTTTAGTTTCCTTCATTTCAGCTACCTGTGGAGAACCACCATGGGTTCACGATCTGGATCGATGGATTCAAAAAAATTCTAGATATTACAACTCTGGAATCCCATCGGTGGAAAGAAATGGCTCCCATGTATGGGTCGAGAGATAAGAACCATGGTGAGTAACGTTTCTTTTTTCTCATCTCAGTAGTTTAAGAGCAACTTACTTAATCATCTTTTTACTTGTGTAGGGCTCCCGAAGGGTTCCGTCATATGCCCCAATGTTGACTCTCTAGATGACCCCGAGGAGGCTGGTAGGGTGTTGAAGAATGCACTCGATCGAAGCGCTGCTCATGTATTTGCTCGAGCCTCCGATGAGAGCGCCTCTTCTCAGAGTCCCCAGTCCAAGAACAAGAAATCGAAGAGGAGACATTCCTCCTCGGCAGGAACTCGAGAGAAGAGAGTAAAGAAAAGAGCTGAACAAAGTGGTCCTCGATGATGACGGGGAAGCTAGTGATGAAGAGGCTTCCCTTCAAAGGAAAAAGGATCTTCATCGGCTGAACTGGATGCTCAGTCGGGGGAGCTCTAAAACCCACCTGCAGAAGAATACACTACTCGCCACAAGTAATAGTCTCGCTCTTTTCAATTGTTTCCCATT